TTAGTATTTTTATCCCCTTCCCGCAGCCAACTAATTCTAGCCTTTTGATTCCAAAAGATTTCTTCCTCCTTATAAGCTTCGGCCAGCTGCTTCTTAAGATCCCTTACCTCCTCGTTTCTCTTATCTGAATCTGAGATCCTAACTCTTTCCAGCTCATGTTTAAGATCATTAATTTTGCTCCTAGAGTTAGATTGGACTTTATTTCTCCACTTCAAAAGTTCGATTCTGCAATTTCTAATCTTCCTAGTTACTTTGAACATTTTAGAACCAAGTTCCTCCTTGTTCCAAGCCTGCTTCACCACTTCCTGGATCCCCTCTTTGTGGAGCCATCTCTTATCAAAATAAAACCTCTTCTTCTTCCTCCCAATCCCTGGATTAGTATCTAGTAAAAGTATAGAGTGATCAGAAGCAAGGGTATCAATGTGTTGACACCTTGCCATCTCAAACTCTTGAAACCACTCCACACTTCCAAGACATCTGTCAAGCCTTTGTCGGACTTCACCTTCATTATCCCAGTGATTACTCCACGTCCAAGGGTGACCTTCAAAACCTATATCCACTAATCTATTACAATCTATGAAATCTCTAAAGTCCCTAAAACTCCTCTCCTCCCTATACGCTCCCCCCCATTTTTCATCATTTGACAAAATATCATTAAAGTCACCTGTGATTAAGAATCTGGATCCCCACAAACTGCTTCTATCAGTTAACACTCTCCATTGTTCTTTCCTAATTCTCTGGTCACAACTGGCATAAACACCAATAAACCACCAAGTAGCCCGGGTCTCATTATCTTCCACTCTAGCTTCTATAGTGAAGGCTGTAGTGTTTACCTCCACAATATGAGTTTCCTTAGTCCATAACAAAGCCATACCACCTGCCCTATTCATAGCTTCCACTGTCACATTTTGATCCAACCTTAGATTTCTAGCTATTCTATCTATCACATTCTTCCTGTTCTTAGTCTCGCTTAAGAAAAACATACTTGGGGAGGAGAGGTTGTTAACCTCCCTCAGACTGGGAACTGTCAAGGGACTCCCCACCCCTTGGCAATTCCACACCACAACTCTCATTTGCAACTGGAGGTCCCATTAAGGAAGGACCCCTCTCCCTTTCCCCTAGTCTCTTCAGAATATAGCTCAACCATAGGTTTATATTTTTTCCCTTGAGTTGCATCCTGTTGTGCTTCCTCCATCAATTCATCTTTAAGCACCATCTTCCTCTTTCCAGTTCTAGCCTGAGAAAAGTCATTATCAATTAACACTTGTAATGGTTTTCTAGTTTTGACTGGATGCTTTAACTTCCTAAAGGATCTCCTGTATTGCCTTTCTGTCACCCCTCCCATCTTTTCATCTCCCAGGGAGTCCTGATGAAGAACTAAGACCCCTGTCTCTTTCTCCCTGAGCTCGGTTTCCAGATTTTGGTTGTGCACTGCCACCTCTACATCCTCCTCCATCTCTACCGCTGCAGTACAAGTCTGGATTCCTTCCCCCATTTGAAAAGAGGTGGTGAGAACAAGGCCCTCTTTCTCAACGTTCGTCTGTCTCTCCACCCTATCATGTGATTCTGCCTTATCTTCCTCCTCTCTAGTTGAGGTTTCTACATCCAGCTCTGTTCTAAAATCAGACCCTACTGTCTCCCGCTCCTGGTTGCTACCCCTTTGTTTACCAGAGAACTCCAAACCAGCTACAAGTTTCTTCAGATTTTGTGGCCTAATTTTTTCCTGTTCGACCATCTCCCCATTCCTAAATGTCCAGTAGCGTTTATCACTCCCCTCGGTCGACCTCCCTAATTTTCCCTGGGGTGAAATCCTAGTGTTCCCTGCTCTCAGCCAAGGACCGTACTGGTTCTCAGCATTGTTACCGCCTAAACTTCGCTTTTCTTTGCAGGACCTCTCACTGTGTCCTACAATCCCGCAGTTATAGCAGAAATCCGGACATCTTTCGTATTTGAAAGCTATCCATTTTCCAGCTCCCGCAATCCTGACCACAGTACCTCTGAGAAGAGGTTTAGAAAGATCGACCAAAGCTAACACTTTCAAATGTCTACCCTCCTTCCCTCCAGATTGTGGGATTAAAACCTCCTTAACATCAATAAAAACTCCTCCTATCTTTTTTCCAATCTCCTTAGAAAGCCAGTGAACTGGTAAGTTCCAGAGTTGCACCCACAGAGGTGCAGTCATAAAGGCTTTGTAATCCTCCTCTATACCTTCTACCCATCTTTTCAGGACTAACATCTGATTGTCTATAACCCACGGTCCCCCCTCTACTATTCTGTGCTGATCATCTGGGTTTTGCACGTTGAACTGGAACACATTAGGTCCCAGTTCCACCACGGACAGATTTCTGGGGTACCCCCAGGCCACAGCCACAAAGTTTTTAATTCCAGTGAAATTAATAACTTTTTCTCCTATAACTCGACCGATAAAGCTGTTCTCACAAGCTCTCACCCCCGTATGAAAGTCCTCCAGCTCCAACGTCGGTCCTAGCAGCTCATTCCCTTCAAGGGAAAATTTCTGTAGGAGCTCTGTCAAATCTCCCTCCATGGAACAGACCAGCAATTCCACGTGGTATAACCACCCACACTCAGGATAACTCAACGCAAAGCAGACAGCAAAGGGACCCAAAAAAACAAAGGATAAGAGTGGACCAAAAGCTAAACAGAAAAAGGTTTCAGCATAGGAATTAGACAAAAATAGAAGAATAATGATCACTGCTCACTTGTGCCGCATACGCAAGACAAAGGAAAGAAAGAACACTGACTCTCTTTTGTCCAGGCATTAGCAAAACATCAGTTGGTAGTGGCACTTGAGCTTCTGCCCTCCATGCACGGACTAGCTGTAGCTGATCTACGTTCCTTTAAACTTGAATCCAAAGACCCTCATAGTTGATTATTGATCGATGGTTTCCTAGATGTAGATTTGCGGGAATGTGGGAATTTGAAAATATTTGAAAAGTGCTGACTTCCCACCAAAGAGGTGAGAGGGCTCTTAACCCAAGAGAGAGCACAACTACTTTAGAGTGAGAAAACCTCTACTATAGAGAGAGAAACAGGATAAGCTAAAGGGGAGGTAAGTGGTTTCCAAGCAGCAGATCTACGCAAGCTACGCAATGGGCTCAAATTAGTAGCCCTCGGAAACAGCAGAAGAACCAGCATGGCCCAAATTGAAGCAATGGCAGAACGCCAGTTCCACTTATTCAGAGAGATGATACAAAATGATAGGAAACCATCATTAATTCTTGTATTAATCTTCAGGAAAGATTGCGAGAAATATTTGTAGGATTTCCAGGAGTATTAAAATTATGGAATCGCATAAAAAGTGGCAGGATTGCTTCATTTACACGATCTTTAATTCAGTCATATAGAAACAGCGTATAACAGATCATAATTATTATCGAGCTGCTCATTATCTCCAGCCCAAAAGGTTTAAAAGTTTCTCATATTCACTGACTTTATCTACTTGCACCATTTGTGGCCGAGCAGAGTAATTAGGAAATCATTATTGAGAATTCAGATGGTCAGAATTTATCTACTTGCACCATTTGAGCCATTTTCTTCATCAATGCAGTGGATAATGCATGATTGGTGTGATGAAGATTGTGTGAAAATATTGAAAAACTGTCGAAGAGCAATACCAGAAAAACCGGGCAAGTCTTCATTATTGATGTGGGCTTAAAGCCTGATGGTGATGGGTTATTTGACAGCACTGAGATGATATTTGATTATTTGATTTGCTAATGATTGCTCACAGCTCTGGTGGCAAGGACAGGACTGAACCTGAATGGAAAAAACTTTAGAGGAGGCTTCCAACGTTGCAATATTTACTGAAATCCCTGCTTGCTTTTCCATCATAAAGACCTATCCAGAATGATATTATAACCATGGTTCGCCATCGCGAGTCGCAATCACGTCTCAGTCTCGGTTGTTCCATATCCATCACGGTATATCGGTTGAATATTAGGTGATACGCACATTATAACACATGAAAGTTTTCAAAATTTTTGAAAAAATTACTAAAATTAGAAAATACCAATAAAGGCACAATTTGAAAAAATACCCAAGTCGACTCCGAGTTAACTCGAATATATCGGCCGATATCATACATCACGGATTCGAATCGGTCAATATCGGCCAAGTCAAAGTGAGTCGTCGCGGATATGATAATATCCATGATTCGAGGATCTGTATCATACCGGTCTCCTCCGTTCCAGTTACAACTAGGCCGATAAGTATCGGTATCGACCGATATAGCGGACCATGATTATAAATGAGAGTTGCACTTTGGATCTCATATCATTTATTACAGTATTAGTATCTTCCGAAGGCCAAGTACAACATATCTCCGTTTTGTGTACTAAGTTTCATGCAATTTGGTTGATATATTGTATAATCTATCTTGATTTAGTCTTTTACTTCAATCTTGACATATCTTTCTTTCTTCTTCTTGTATTGTTGTCCGGTTCAAAGGTCGTCATGAGTTGTCAATCAATTTCGTCAATCAATTTCATATTGTATAATTTAGAAAAGTTGTAATTCGTGCCACAATGATCTGAAAAGGGATAAGTGGTTTCCAGGCAGCAGTTCTACGAAAACTACGCAATGGGCACCAAATTAGTAGCCCTCAAAAACAGCAGAAACCCAAATTGAAGCTACGGCAGAACGCCAGTTCTACTTATTTACGGAGACGATACAAAATGATAGGAAATCATCATTAATTCCTGTATTGTTCCTCAGGAAAGATAGCTAGAAATATCTATAGGATTTCCAAGACTACTAACATTACAAAAGTCATATAGAAAGTGGCAGGATTGCTTCATGCACATGATCCTTAATTCAGTCATATAGAAACAGCACATACTGGATCGTAATTATTTATCCAGCTGCTCATTATTAACCAGCTAAAAAGGTTTAGAAATTTCTCATATTCACTGAATTTATTGACATGCACCATTGGTGGCCAGGCATAATAATTTGGAAAACATTATTAAGAAATGAGATGATCAGATCTGAAAGGATCTTGGCTTCAAGACAATGGTAGAATGGTTCAAAAGATGTGAACTGAATTGTCCACTTTTTTCTGTGGTATCAATCTTGGATTGCCCCGGAGGAGGCAACAGCTCGAAATTCTGCACCAGGCATCCCAAAGTGAGGCTAAGAATTGGCATAGCAAGAACAATCCCAGGGCAGCTTCTCCTACCAACACCAAACGGAAGATATCTGAAGTCATTGCCATTGGCCTCAACCTTAGACTCCTCTTCCAAGAACCTCTGGGGTCTAAATTCCTCGGGCCTCTTCCAGTTTTCTGGGTTGTTTGCGAGCCACCAAGTGTTGACCAAAATCTTGCTCTCAGCAGGAACATCATAGCCACCGAGCTTGGCGTCGTTAAGGTTCATGTGAGGCACCAAAAAAGGAACTGGCACTCGAAACTGGAGGGTCTCCTTGATCACTGCCTGAAGGTATGGTAGTTTGTCAATGTCAGGTTCAGTGATTTGCACACCAGGTCCAAGCACAGCGTCAATCTCATCACGCAGCTTGCTCTGGATTTGTGGGTGGTTAACCAATTCTGCAATGCCCCATTCAAGTGTCCATAAAGGTGTCTCCATAACTGGTCATGACAAACTAATTAGTTATATTTGCTACAAGACTTCCATATCAGGGAGTTATATTAGCTTCATTAGTTTCACTGATTTCAGGGAAATGTAATTAGTTTGGGCGTAAACATGATTAGAGTTGTTTAAAGAGCTAAGAAACGTACCCATAAAATTCATGTTTTCCACAATATAAAGGAGATGATCCTCGTTAATCTCTCCATTCTGCTGTGCTTCAAGAAGATGATCTATGGCACATTTCGGACTGTTGTTATCCATGCTTTTTGTTCTTAACAGCTTCCTGGAATCGCAAAATTATAACTAAGACACCAGAGCTATTAAGAATATGCTGAATCATTTACCACCTTTGGATGCAAGACCAGTGTGGCAGTAACAATTTTCTCGCAATCTGACAAGGTAACCTAACCATTTTAGTCGAGCAAGACATTGAGCAGACTTGTCTAAAATTATGTCAAAGGCTGTCACGGCTAAAAAATGGTTTTAACCCTAGATTGATTGGTGCACCAGATGAGCTTCCAGTTCAACAGGTTCACAGTCCAACTCAAATATGCAACATTTTTTTAAAAATATTACTATCAAATAATCTAGATATTACCGAACTACCAAAAAAAAAAAAAGTAACAACCCCTTCAGTAGTTTGGATTTTGCCGGTTTTGATTGGGTTTTTTTAAGATTCTAGTTTAACATAGATTTAAACTAGTTTTCTGAGTTTAATATAGAACCAAACCATTTTGATGACCGATCTACAGTTCAATGGATCAAAAGTTTTATCCCTCTATGTGTAGGCTTTATGCTCTCTGAGGACAACTCCAATCTGTAGTTCATTAACTAGGTCAGTTACAACTTGACCCCTTGCTACCCTACTTCGGCCCTCTAATTCCCCTTAGTTCCACAAATAATATTGAAGGTGTTCTGACTTTGCTGTCTTGTGCTAGAGGATAGGTTCCCCTTATATTCCAGAATGAGTATAGGTCATGTTTTGTATAATTCAATCCGATTATTGTACATACTTAAATTGTCAATTTTTGTTATAGCATTATACTATATATATATATATATATATATATACTCCCTCCGTCCCACTTTGATAGTTCTATTTTCCTTTTTTGTCTGTCCCAAATTATAGTCCACTTTCCAATTGAAGAATGTAGTTGTATTTTAATTTTTCTCAAATACCCTTATTTAATGTAAGTTGTTGTTATTATAAACCTACCCCATTTAATGAGAGTTGATTCTCTTTTTACCATCAATTCAAGTTCCCATAAAATTGTACTCTATTTAATGTGAGGGTATTTTAAGAAAATAGAAATCTAAATTTACTTTTCCAATAAAATTAACTATTTTTTCTTAAACTGTGTAAAAAAAAGAAACAGGACTATCAAAGTGGGACGGAGGGAGTATATATATTAAGTATTCTATTTATATATACATGCCTTTTTCTACGAATATAATAATATAATCTGATTATACATTAAATAATATAAAAAGTACAATAATTGCATCGAATCACATGGAATTCCAATAGCACCATCCCTGGTTCTCTCCATTTTGATGCTCTTTTAGTACCTACATTATCAAATAAGCCACCTAGCGACTCAATCTGATTTTCAAAAGGTTATGGTAAAATGCATAAATATAATTACATCACAAAAAAGAAAGAAAAATTGAGTATGCGCTTGGACAAACTATTTTGAGAGAAAATAATTTGGTTTCAAGAGAGAGAAAATAATTTGATATGAAAAGCATAAATGATTATTTTGAGAAAGTTAATGGTCAAGGGCATAAGTGTAATCACCAGCAAATGCAAGGCATCAACTTTAGTCTTGTGAAACTATTTGCAACCGTGCAAATATCACAATAAAAAATAAACTAACTTTTAGGTTCTTATACAACCAATATAGCTTACACAAAGTATTATCTGGTTGACATTCAAGAGTTCAGCAACTTAAGTCTCAAATTATCATGTCATCTGACATTGAAATTCCTATATTTGCTACATGAGAAACTGATCATGTAAGCCCTGCTCAAGTCAACCTTCTAATTGAAAAAAAAAAAAACCTTTTTTTTTTCAATTATCTAGACTTACCAATCAAGCATTCTTCAATGGCCATTACTATCCATAGTATCTACTAGTAATCAACATATATTTCACCATAAATTGTATTTTTTTTCAAACACGGTAAAGATTGATGTATATATTTTCAGTTTCTCATCATATCTACGACACAGAATTCATTGCTAGAATTCAGTTGAAGAAAACTTTTCTTCCATGGTCGTACAACTAACAATTAAGACATTCAAGAAAAAATTGTTAAATGTACCATTGATCACAGAGAGTATAAAATCATGCTATGTCGTGTCATATTTTTCCAATTTATGGAATATCAACCTTATTATATTCATTTGCAGGGACCTGGACCTGGAAGTCTAGACCCAACCTGGACCCGGATCCGGAACAGTCAATTTTCCAATTAGAATTGAGAGCCTCCTGGAATCCCCAAAAATTAGAATTAAGGCATCAAAGCTATTGAGAGTACGATTGATCACCTACCACCTTTGGATGCAAGACCAAAAGGCGGTAACAATTTTCTCGCAAAGTAATCAGACAAAGGTGTCAAAAATTAATCTCAGGAGCCCAAAGTTTGGCATTTAATATACACTGAGACTAGTTTTTCGAGTTTAATATAAAGCCAAACTAGTGCTTTTATATTTTGCGTAATTAGTCTGATTATTCTATGCAATTCGGTCCTCTAATTCCAGTAATACACTATTAAAGATATTTTGACTTTTCTGTCTTGTGCTAGAGGATAGTATAGGCTTCTTCTCTGTTCCAAACTAGGTGTCCGTGCTTTTATGTTTTGTGTAATGCAATCCGATTATTGTATGTAATTTGGTCCTCTAATTCCCCCTAATCCCGGTAATACTTAGGCTCTGCTTGGATTGCTTGTTTCCGTCGGAAAATATTGTCGTTTTTCGTGATCACATTTTCCTATCACCTTTTTCCCTCACATATATCAAATCGCTACAGTAATTTTTCCATGAAAAATGATGGAAAATACAATCCAAACACAACCTTAATATTACTAAAGGTGTTTTGACTTTTCTGTCTCGTGCTAGAGGATAGGATAGGCCTCTTTTCTATTCCAACCTACGCATTGATGCTCTTATGTTTTGCATAATTCACGAACCAATTATTGTATGTATTTATAGTGTTGTACTGAATATTCGTTAAAAAGTACAACCATTGAACTAAATCACATAGCATCGACTTAATTCCCTCTATTCCTTTGTTCTTTTAGTGCCTCAATTATCAAATATGCCACCGAGCAACTAGATCTAATTTTCAAAACATTAAAGCAAAACACATAAATAAAATTACATAAAAAAACAAATAAGAAAGAAATACTGAGTATACAAAATTTTTTTATCAATCAAACTATTTGTTGCTGTGGCTTATTTATCCCTATCAGAATTCATAAACTGCCATGTCATAAGTAATAAAACTCCTTCAACTTTTTAGCATTGTTGCAAGAAGCCTCATCTAATGATTCTGATAAGCAACTTGCATCCTTGAACCCAAGGGTCTAAAACCCAGACCGCTCATTGACTCAAAAAAATGAATGGGTCAAGGGTCGTTGGTTCAACCATTGGGTTGATTATCATTAACTCGTGATGTCATAAATATTAAACATACAAAAAACAAACAAATATTTGTAGAAACTTAAGTTATATTGTTAAATATAATCACTTTAACTCTCATTCTATTATACTAAGTAGTATTATTTGTTTAAGACTCAAAAATAGCTTTTATAAGTTAAAGAATTTTAAATAATATTATTTCATATATTTTTAATTTTCCTAAATTATATGAGTACTAGTTTATATGATGAAAAAATTGAAACACTCAAAAGGCATTAACAAATAAATGAAATACATTCAAGATTTTAAAAAACTAATATAGTCAATTATATGTTATAAATGTTAAACAAGAGTTAATATGTAATTATGGAGGATAGAGAGAAATGGGTAGAATAAGGCAATAATTGTTATTGTCTAATTAATTGGAGATAATTTTGCATGGGTGATTAGTAAAATATTAAATTTGGAATGTCATTAATGAGAGCAGTTGACCAAATACAAAATTGTTGGCTTAATTAAGGTTGGATATTGAATTGGCCGGTTCTCACAAAACTATTCCGGGTCAATGGTTTAGTGGTTGAACCGAACGATTCAACTGGTTTAAAGGCAAATTCATACAAACTGGTTTTTTAAACAAATCCAGCCCGAAAAGAAGGCTGATCAATGGTTCAACTGCCTCAAGCGGCTGGTTCGAGTTGGGTTTTAAAACATTGCTTGAACTCAACTAAATTAATAAAAAAAAGTAACTTCATCAATCTTATCAATTAAATGACCAATTTATCCTCATTAGAAATAAAATATTTCCTACAACTTTTGCTGTTGAGTTGTAGGAAAAATTGCAGGGGTTAAATGCACTAAATCCCTTTGGACTTTACTTTAGTTGTAATTTAACCTTCAAACTTTTTATTTATATTTTTTTGTTGACACTAACGCCTTGCTATTTTATGTATTTCTTTTTCTATTTTGAACATTCTTTGTCTTTTATATTTTGTCATTACTTGATTTCCAAAGTTTTGCTTTTGCTTTCCTCTCTTATACAATTAGTTACTTCTTTTCCTTTTTCCATAGATGTTTGTACATCAAAATAATCTTTTCATATGCATTAATTAATATTTTATACTATTGGAGTTTCATCATTTATTTGTTTATTCATTTCCCCTTTTAATAGTGATGATCATATAATAAGCTCTATGCTACCTAAAACGAAGTGTACTTATACAAAAATGAAAATAGTGAATACGTGTAAAAAAATTGCAAATTATTGCTAATAAATAAAAATTAATCATATAATAACAAAAGTGACGACTAAATAAATCGTTACAAGTATAATTTTTAATAAGCACAAAGTGTCATTTAAGCATTAACTTTTTAAATGAAATTTGTTAGAGGGTACAAAATAGTATTTTGAAAATTGGACTATGTCTAAAAATCAATGGAACTAGTCGAACTAGTCAAGATTGATAAGAGATTAGATTTTTTAACCAGTTCATACTAAATTTTCTTTTTTTTTATTTTGTAAATTTTAAAGTCATCCTATTTACATAATAAAAGCATAAAAAATATTTGATGTTAATTGAATCAATTTGAACCATGAACTGGAAGCTCATCCCGATTAATAA